GTGTAATCCTGTACACCTGAGTCAAAAATGGCCATATCTGTATTGCATGTACAGTGTCCTTCTATCAAACATCACTATTCAGCTACAGAAAAAATCTTTTATTCTGACTGCACTTGCAATGAAAGTAATTTAATGGAAAAATTATAAATTTTACATTTAGCCATTTAAAATATGGCCCTCTATACTTATACATTATACAAATCCTGGCATGTAGAAATTCTGAACCAGGAGGTGCCTTTGGTTAGATCCATAAAATCTAGAAAATAGCAGTTAAGTATGAAGAAATAGGTGCTAAGTTGAATTAGGTATTATCTCTTCTCTTAATAGGATCAAATCAAAGATTAAAAATACGTTGTGAAATACCCATCAGCTACATGCTAAAGATGTTTAATGAGAAAAAAACGGTAAGCCTTACTGATTAAAATTAGCAAGGCAGGTACAGGAGGATGTAATAATATTGACCCATGTATCAAAAGGGATTGAACTCCACAGGACATCTCATTGCTAACTTCCCTTTTAAAAAAATTCTTGATAACTTCATTTATATCCTGAGAAAAGTAGTTTTTACAATGAGGTGTAGGATTAGTTTTTATTTCATTTTATTTTGGTTTTTTTAGCAAGCATCTTTCACTTGGAAAAATACTTAGATCATAGTTTCTACTTCTGTAAGCCTTGAAAATAAAATGAGCAGATTTTAAGTATGATCAGAGCTATACTTTTCCTTCTACATGAAGAGGAAATGAAAAGATTATTCTCAAGATGCATAATATGTATTTATCTTCTCTGAAGTTTCCTCTTATAGTATTTCTAAAATATAGCCAAATCAGAATAGATTGTGTTTCAAATCCACCTGCTCATCATTGTGAACAAGATTGTATCTTACAGCTTTGGCATCTATCAGTTTAAAATGTTGAACGTCTTTTGTTCCTTTACTTTCTGTATTATGTTTTGATTAACCTTAATAGGTCTGCCTAGCATCTTTTTCTCATTTTTTGGAATTCTTTTTATTAAATCAATTTACCTAGTCTGACATAAATCTCAGGATTCTTCCAGTCAACTCTAGTACTGTTAAAAAATACAGCTACAGCAGTTATTATCCTCCAATTCTTCAGTATAGTAGCTGCTTTTAATGAGAAATTCCATGTTAGAAGTTCTTAAACTAACTTTCTCATTTAATTTTTTAAGTTAATATCACTGTGAACATTTAACATGATCACTTCCATAAAAGCTGTCTGAAATGACACTGCAGTCAGCTCACTTCAGTGGTTTTGATTGCTTCTAGTACTAACTTTGTTACACAGCATTTTAGGTAAACCCATAATGCTGTTGGAGGTATGACTGGATCCCGTTTAGGCACAGCAAGGCTAATTTATGTATAGCTTCCTGGCTGCAGTGTAGATATTACAACATAGGATTAGCACACACTAGTGCACAAATAAGCATTCATATTTCCCCCCAGGCTTGAATAGACTGTGCTGAAAATCCATGTTATGCTTTCACTGTTTGTACTATCAAACTAGTTAAACATGAGTGAGGTTTGCCTATTGGTACTGAAAATCACACATTCTGTCAGAGGCGTTGCCTTGTCATTTTCCCTTGTGTTCTCTACAGCTGGTTATTCCAAGAAATGGTCGGTAACACAGAAATATTAGTATGATATGTCATTTGAATAACAGATACACACACAGCTGGAAACATTGCTAGTGATGATTCCGTTTCAGTTTCTCAATCTTTGTGACATTTTCCTGATCTTTCATAAATATCTGCTGTCATATTTGTTGAACTTGACAAACATAATAAATATAATAGTTAAGAAAAAAAATATTTTAGGATACAAAATTGGAAGGAAGTGAAGGATGGGAAGAAACTGAGATTTTCCCATAAATTTTTGACCTGCTCATCATAAGTATATCTATTTCTTAAAATGTGTGTAGTGTAATTGTATAGTTGGTTCCAGTGGGAAATGTTATTTGGTTAGGTATGCAAGAATCTGTGTATTTATATTATGACAAATAACCTTCATGATCTTAAGTATTTATGCAGGTAATGCAGGACTACGCTGAGTTCTTCATTTGATGTAGTTTTAGTAAGGATGATCACCTTGTTCCAGGGATTCTTATTTTCATTTTATTATTCTTATTTCCTTCCATTTGTTATAGAGGAACATCTAGAACTAAGGGACACTTAATTTTTTTTCTGAAGTCTTCTGGTTTTCTGGAATGCACTTTTGTGATGTCAGTCTTCTTTCTTTCTTTCTTTACATTTTCAGTCTAGTCTCTGTCCTTTTCTTTCAGATGATTTACTTTCACAGCAGCAATAACTCTAATATGCATTGCTCACTCAATAATTTCTCAGTTTGTTCATGACTTATTTTTCACAATCCCGCAACCTCAAATTCCATTTTAAATTCTGTAGTCCAGATTATATACCAAAAACACTGAAGAGATTAAGTGTTGAGGTGTAATGAACCTACTTGCATAACTGACAATTCTGTAAATTTGTGATGTTCTGCAATAGACACTATGTTCAGGAAAAAAATGTTTGGACTGCATATCAAATCATACCTATTGAATGAAGGATAGTTACAACTGTTTACATATAATTTTCATAATACATTGGAGATTTTTTAGTGGATATCGTAGCCACTGTGGAAAGTATGAACCAGGAGCTACTTCCACAGCCCATTGCCACACTGTATCAGTTTTGAGTTTAATTTTTGTTGCACTCTCTTTTTTCTTATTTTCCTTGCATTTTGTTGTGTGTGCTCTCTAGTGCGTATTTGCTGGCTTACATTCATATAGCTTTCTTTTGTCTAGATATTTCAAGAACTACACTATCTCATTCTGTTTCTTATGTGTTCTCTTGTGTGCTTTATAGGAAGGTCTACAAGAGTACCACTTTCTCACCTGTAAGTTGTATTCCACTTATGGCAAAGATCTCTCCTTTTCACTCCCAAGTTATTTTCTCCAGTTACGGCATCTACTTCCTTATGTGGAGGAATGGGACAAAGACACTCCAAGAAGGAATATATCTATGTATTCCTTATTTACCTATATGTACATCCTGACTGTTGAATTAGCATTCTTATGACTGACTTCAGAAATATACAATTTCTGCTTTTTGACTGGACTGATCTGGATTTGAGTTCTTATCCTCTGCTACTTTAAGAAATTACAAAACTGCTTTTACTCATTCAAATTCAAATGCTGAAAGTTGCCATTCCAGTGTAGTTTTTATACCCCCAAACGCACATGTCAACTAAACAGAGCAAAGAGTAACTCGGATCTCTTTTTTGCCTTCATATTAGAAGCTAAAGGGCTTTTTTTACCATTTAAATACTTTTCCTCTAGTTCTTTCTTCACAGTAAAGCTCACCTTTGCTTGGGTCTTTTATGGACACTTTCTCAGCTTAAAGTACATAATGGTACTTATACTATCATCATCCTCATCAAATATAGACATTTCGTAGACTTAAAATTTCACAGGCAGTGCCAAAGTGCTGGATCTTATTCTGTTCTCTTTTATTCATGCTTCTCCATTGAATCTAATGAGATTGGACTAAGTGGTAAGGTTAAACATGGACATCATGCTTTTTACCCTATCTATTTCTATAGAATTCCTTCCTTACAAATGTATTTCAAATTAAATATGACAGGTGCACTGCCAACATTTTTACTTCACAGATTATCAGCAAAGTAAATTCAGAATGGAAAGGATTTCTGTATTTTCCATGTATCTTTAAAAGAACCATTCTTGGGCCCTTAGCATTACACATAGTAGCATAGGTATTTCCTTCTCATGATTCTAAAATAGAGTTATATGATAGAATCCTGTTCTGTTATACTTCTGCTACTGCTCTGAGAGATAATTATAATTGTTAGTTTCTGAAAATTATTTTTCAAAGATACATATTAGTCGCTAACGTTGACTGGTATTTTGTTGCCTCTCTTAACAATGACATCATCCAGGGCTGATTTTGCAAGCTACTATAGTAATTCATGAGAAGTAAATAACTCTTGAGAATTTGTCAGTTGTTTCCTATAGCCTATGTATTTTAACCTTACTCATGTTATCAGAGAGACTGTCTCTGTTGTAAAAGAGTGGAGGACTTAGGTAGTCATTGTAACTTCTGATGAATGTATGCTGGTGAATATTATCTATCACTTCATATTATTTGAACAAAACTCAGAGAATTATTTTCCTTTGATGCTATGTTTCTCACTCATCTTCTGCTTTCACTCTACATTTTTACTTTTCAGTGCAACAGTTGTGAATAGCTGTAAGTTTTTATCCATGAAGAAAAATACTTTTTAAACAAAACCAGTTGTTTCTTTGGGGAAAGGGTTCATATGTTTGGTATCTTAAAAAAAAAAAAAACAAACAGGTAAATCCATATTAAAAACAAAACAAAAACAAAAACAAAACAAACAAAAAAAACCAAAACAAAACCAAAAACCGCCACCAACAACAACTACTGATATTGATACCAAAGAGGAAAAAAAAAAATCCCAAACCAAAAAAAACCCTAATACTATTTTTTAGGTATCTGTAGGAACATATTTTGCATTATTTTGATGCATTAAATGTTTTACATACTTACTTGCTTGAAGTTGTTTGTGTCTAAAGGTACAGAAAGGTTTGGTTAATTAAACTTTACAAAAACAAAGAGGATACATTTTATGAAGTGATATTCTCAACTGTGGCAAAACTGTGTAACAACTGATAAGACAATCATATATTGTACATTTCTTGATGATTCCTGTGGGCTTAAAAGAGTAAAGAGTAGCTTATAGTGTGGAAAAAAAGATTTAAAAGTGGCTGAAGATGAAACAAATAAACAAAAGTAGAAATCAGTCATTTATGATACATTACTGGCAACAAACATTATTCCATGGATATTCATAGAAGCTAGCATTAAGGGTCTCAAATAATATATTATGTATAAGTTCCAAATCCACTCAAACCTGTTTGTATTTTACATAAGGATAAGTTTTTACGTACCAACTCCAGACATCTCCGGAATACTGGCAGTGTACATGTCCTTGGTGAATTTTGGCTCATTGTCATTGATATCGTGGATTTTAATGATAAATTCAGACTCTGGCTCCACTTGTCTTCCAGTTTTTCTGTCTATAGCCTTGGCACGTAGCACATACAGGGACTTTTCTTCTCTGTCCAATTTCTTTGCAGCATGAATATCTCCTGTATTTTCATCTATAATGAACAGACTGCCAGCCCCATCTCCTGTTAATATGTATTTTAAATTTCCGTCTCCTTTATCTTGGTCAGTGTGTAGCTTTAGGGAAGTAGAAAAGAAGAATTCTATAAATACATACATTGTTATTACAGACCAAATCATTCAGCATATATGAGTAAGTCTGTACAATCTTGACTATAATTGGGGTCAGTAGCGGTTATCTTCTGTTTCACTGTTGGAAAAATTGCAAATTTGAGACTCAGTCATACACAAAAAATAGCTCTAAACAAACTCATAAGGGCATAGGAGATATGTATAGAAGATATTGCAGTAGTATTTAAAATTACCAACCTAAAACAATAAATTATATTTCTTTGAATAGTCTGTCCAGAATCTACCAGAGGACCCCTTTTTGAGGATGACAGGGCGTATAAAACCCCCAAGTTTCTATTTGCGAAGTAACAGTTGTCTTCCCATTTATTGATTGCTGATAAGGCAACCAGTTACTTCATAACAGCATAGAAGAAATGGATTTTAAAGATTATAGCTTCTGAATTCCCCAAAATCACCTATCACCTACAAATGTTCTAAGCAACTTGTCCTTCTAGTTGTATTCTTTTTTTTTTTTTCTTTGTTTCTTTTCTTTAGGAACATCTTACCTCAGTTAATTACTTCCTTCCTTCTAGTCCTCTCCACACAGGAGAAATAATTTTCAAGAACACTAGGAGGTAAATTTTCAAAGCATCAAGTGGGATTTAACAGTCCTTTTCCTATTACATCTCTTCATAAGAGTTCAAAACTCTATTTCTATTAATTTACAGGCAGATTAGTTTGCCATATAGCACCATTATGAAAAAGTGCCTAAAACCAAAGCCAAAGAAAGCCATTGAAGCTGACCCAGGCAATAGAAATTCTCACATAATACACTTTTTTGGAAGTCTATTCCTCTGATTTAATTTACAGGGATCCACAGTTCCTTTTTATAAGCATCTGCAGTATATTTTCATCAGACGTATGCTTACAGTCACATCTGGCCACTGATTGGTGACCTGAGTTTTTTTTCAGATGTGGACAAAAAGAATCTTATCCCAGCATTTTTTTTTTAATTTCTCTGAGCAGAAAAATATAGTATATCATCCATCTGAGAAAATATTGTTCAGTATCAGTAAATATATTGCTCTGGATAGTCATTGGAGCCAGATAACTTATTTTATGCCACTTCTTTCTTTATTTCCTTGTTTCTGTATTCCTGCCAGTGTTTATCTCCATGTTTCATAGCTGAGCCATTGCATCTTTTTATTATTCCACCAGTATGAAGAGTGATTGTGGTGGATTTTGCTAAATTTCTTCACTTTGATTTTTTTCCTATAATCATAGAATCATAGAATCATCATGGTT